TACCTATTCTACTAGGAGGTCTAATAGGTATAGAGTGCCTCTTTCTACTTATCTTAAGTCCACGACCGTATATTTTTTATAAGTTCTTAAAGACTCTACCGGTCTAGAAGAGCGTCCGGGTTATCTCGGACTTCTTATACTACTTAGCTAGAGTTAGCTTCTATTAAGCACCTATACCGTATTTAATTCCGGCCTATATATAGAAGTACACGGTAATATATACTAATTCGTGCACGTAGCGCGGCGAAAGTATATTCTATATTTCCTATATATTCCTATACTTATTATTTAGTAAAGTATACCACCCTCTATATCTAGTAGAAGTTATATATACTTATAACGTCTATCTCGCGTCGTAGTAGTACTATATTAGTAGCTTTATATACGCCTAATATAAGACGGAGTATACGGTTCTATATGGATTCGAGCTTTATTCGCCTAGTCTATATAAGGGCCGTGTACTAGTACTCGTATCCGTATATAAAGGCGGGTCGTACTATAGATATATATAGCTAGCGTGCCTTATCCCGGGCGGTTCTCTATATAGAGACTATAATCCGTTATATAGCGGCTTCTATCTAGAGGGCCCTAGAGACGGTATATACTACTTATAGTCCCTATTTAAGCTTACTATCTAGTATAACTCCGAGCGCGTGTATACTTTATACTAGTAGTTCGTTAAATATATTAATTCGGGGGCGTTATTTACCTTCTCTAGTTATCTATTTCCCTTAATAATTAATAAAGTATATAAGCTAGTATTTCTCCGGGGCGAACTTTACTCTATAGCGTTTTACCTACTAGAGGTACCTCTTATAGTTCTATTCTAGTTGTCTACACGTTCGGTTAGTATTATTATTAATAGCTAGGAGATATATATTATCGGCGTATCCGACTACCTCTATATACTTTATTTCTTAAAGAAGGTCTACTGTAAAGAAGAGGAATAGAATCGGAGAGATAGTACTCCCTTATAGGATACCGTATACCGTCTCTTTATATTCGCTCTAGTACCTAGAGATATATATCTAAGTTATTCTTTCTATAAGGAATAACTATATAAAGCGTGTAATCTATTCTAGTATTCGTCTTATCCGGAGGTTATAAATAAGTCTTATATAGTTTACCTTATTAAACGCTCCGGCTATATTAGTAAGAGAGAGGAGCGATACTACCCGTCCCTATTTCTATACGGCCTAGACGACTTTAATAATATATTAGATAGCTATTATTAGGGAGCTATCTACCTTTATCTTCTAGTTCGGAGGGAGAAGATTATATTTCTATACCGTGGTACTTATCTTCTTCGCTATCGTAGCCTCTAGTATCTTACCTAGGTAGGAGAGAAGGGTAATTAGTCTCTATCCCTTTAGAGAGTTAGAGCTCTTTTCTAGTTTCGGGAGTATAATAGTATAGATAACTTAGAAGCTCTAGGGGTGGTACCCCTATATAACGTATACTTAGAATATATAAGTAATAAGCGGTAGGGTCGCTTTTATAGTACTTTTTAGGCATCGATTTAGAATTCTATCTGGTCTAGGTACTTTATTATTTAGAAGTATCTTAATAATATTAAGTATATCCTCCTCCGTAACTTCTTCGGGGATATCTACTATATATAGATATTTAGTACCGTAAACGTCTAATAGGTCTACTAGTTCCGGGAGAGGGAATATGGCCTTCTATAGGGCCTTAGTTTTCTTAAGGCCCGTAGAGTATATTCTCCTCTAATATATTAGGGGAGGTATAAGTAGCGGGGGTATCGGAGTATCTACGCCCTTAGCCTATTTTACTATATACTATAGCCCTATTACGTGTCGTATCTATTAACTAGTAATTATATACTACTATTTACGCCTTTTATTACGGAGGACTTTATCGCGTTATTATATTACTTCCTTCTATTCTTTCTATGACTCGGGTATTCTTATATAGTATACGCGTCTATATAGCCTTCGGACGTCTTATCTACTTTCCTATACTTAAGGAATCCCCTTTACTTCCGGGGGCCGGTATATTCGGTATAGTATATATTTATTTCTTATATTCTAGTATATTTATAGGAGTGTCTATACGGCCTAGTCTATGGCTAGGTCGTTAGATATATCGACTATAGAGGGATCTAGAATCGCCGATTCTAGGTCCTTTAGGTACTTTTCCTAGTCGGTGTCCTTCTATATCTATCGTCCCCGTTATTTATTTAGGGTATATATATTTATTATAGTTTCTATGTATTCGTGGTCGGAATCCGTCTATACCTAGCCTAGGCGGTAGTATTAGATCTAGTAACTAATATACTCCGTGGTAAAGGTAAGGTTAAGCGTAGACCCGTCTTCGTCCTATTTATGTTTTTTCTATATAACTTATTCTATAGGTGTGAGTAGGTATAGGAAGTTATAGTAGCGGGTGTGTAGTTCCCTTACTCTAAGTTCTTCCCTAACTACGGCTAGGTCTCTCTACTATTAGTAGTAGAGGTTAAAGTCTTCTAGAAGGATATATTACCCTAGTTCCGTAGTACCCTCGAGTATCTTATCTAGTATAAGTATATATTATTAGTTATATATATTATATATATATAGGGGGCCTATATCTATTTATAGGTGTAGTATTATTCTAAGGTTATCGCGCTCGGTATACGACTATAATAAGAGTAGTATTAACCTATAAATATAGAAGAGGACTCGTCTTTCTAGTCCTAGAGGGTGTATAGTATAGTATCCGGGGTGTATAGTTAGTTTACTCGTCTAGTAGTATTTATAGGGTTCCTAGATAGTAAGTATTATAGCCCTAGTCTCTTTGAGAAGCGTCGCCTAGTTCTCTCTTTTATATTATATATTTATCTATATAATTCGGAGTATATTCTAGTCCCTTATTAGGTACTAGAGAGTATATATACCTATATACTTATTCCTTAGAGGCGCGACTATCCTCGCGCGGTAGCGGCTTTAACTATACCTTTTAGTTATTCTATTATCTTTAGAATAGTCTACTATCCTACCTAACTACCTTCTAGAGAGGAGGTTAGGGGTATTATAAAGGAAGGGCTCGTGGTAGGTCTTATATTCTATAACTATCTTACGCCTCTCGCTTTTATCGTGCGAATATATTCTATAACCTATTTATATTTTATATATATTAATGACTATAACGGGTATTTCCCGTCGTAGTTTAAATACTATACTATATCTCTATTTCTTAGTCTATCTCCTTGCGGTTCGTGAGGGCACTTCTAGATAGTATAGTCCCTACGGTACTATCCGTACTTAGTCTTCTATAAGTACCTTTATATAGTATATCTATACCCTTAATAGTTAAAGCACTATATTATTATCTATACTCTATCCTATAGCTCGGCTATAAGGAGCTCTCCTTCTATTAGGAATCCCTTCTATATAATATATTATATAAGGGCGGGGTCTCGGAGCTCTATAATTATAGTAGAGTGTTTTTTCGCCGTCGTCTTAATCGTCTATAGATTCTTCTACTACGCTTTTATAATCTTAATCCCTAGATATTTTCGCGTGTTAGATTATTCTATATACATAATATTCTCTACTCTAATAGCCTATCCCTATACGGGTACTATATATACTATAATTAGATATATAGCTACCCTAATAGACGCGCCGGGGAAGATACTACCTATTACGTTTAGATCTCGCGAGATGTTTTACTATATAGTATTTATTATAGTAGTAAGTACTACCCTACCTAGTATAACTTTAGTAGCTATAATACTTAACTATATTCCTTTCTATTTATTAATCTTATTTATAATTTCCTTTAGAGATATCTATTAGACCTATACTAGCATGTTCTTATCCTAGATTATAATACGTATACTATATACTCTATCTATAGTCCTAGTAGTTCTTAGTATAGTAGCTCTAGATATTACTATAATCTAAGCCTACGTATTAGGGCGCTTACCTTAGAATAGCTCTTCCTAGATTCTCCGTAGGCTAGCTTCTATTTAGTCGAGCCTACTACTAGATTCCTCTTATAGTAACTTCCTTTCTTTCTCTATAATTTCTCTTAGATTCTAGATAAGGTCCCGGAATATATAAAGGAGGGTCTTCTTTCCCTCCTCGGCGTCTCTCTCTATATATATTATCTAGTATTTAATTTTATCTAGGAGGGTCTCCCCTCTTAGGGTCCCCTTAGTCTAGGTTATCTATAGTACTTCGCACCCTTAGTTAGTTTCTATATTTTAGATAGGTATCTAGCTATCTATATTAATATTACTATATAGCCGTTTCTACCGTACTAGTAGGGGTATATCTAGCATCTACTAGGGTATTACGATACCTAAGGCCGCTATGGTTATTAGTTAAGGGTAGCCCTTAACTAATAAAAGGGGGTTAGCATATTAGTATTTATTAGATATAGTCTATACTTATATTATTAAAGAGTCTTTAAGTATATATATATAGTATCTCTATATATTAGTATCGTTATATATTATATACTATATATATATACGTGTGTCGGAGGTTATTATACTCGGTATACTCTATTATTTAATATATATAAATTACTATTTTACCCTAAATTAACTAGTTTAGTCTGTTAGGGTATAAGAAGTTTTTAAATAATATTAATATTTATAGATAGATAATTTATACTCTAGTCTCTAAGTAGATCTTAAGTATATATATATATATATATATATATAGTATATCTATACTTTAATAGTATTATATATTTTATACTATATATATATACTAGTAGTTAGTATACTTAGTATAATCTATTAATTAAAATAAAAAAATAGTATATTACTCTAAAATAACTAAGTTAGTCTCTTAGAGAGTATAACGAAGTTTTCTTTTATAAATATAGAGATATTAAATAATACATACCTTTAAATATCTAATTTTGAACTTTAAGTATATTTCTATATATATTAATATCTAGAGTTATACTTAATATATATAGTTCCAAAGTAGAGTAGCTTATTAGTTCATATATTAACTTATCTTCTCTAAGTTTCATTACATATACCATCTCATACATACCTGTACCGCGAACATGACGGCGCTCCGGTTCCCGATATGTTGTTCAACACGCCTGTCGATGATACACGCACCAAATACTTCTCGTTTTCTTCATCAGGCACCTACATTTTTCGTTCCTAAACCGCGCTCACGAGATATCGCGCCGTGTCGCAAGCGGACGCCAATCCTTCGTTGCCGCACATTTTTTACCGACTTCCTCCGTACCTCCAGCTCTCCGATCTCGCCGTCTCCCACCACCCTCAGCATAACTCGCAACATATCCTTCCCTTCCTCAGCCATATATCCCATTATTGCAGACATATCCTCGTACAGCGCGTTCCTTCCCTTCTGTACCTCCTCTACCGTAACATCCTGGTCAGCTCCACATCCGCGTACAGGAAAGTTATACCCTGAAGAAGCGACCCTGACAATTGGTTGGCAGGGTATAGAAGAGTTGTTCGTAAGCCGCGTGTACTGTGTACCTGACAAGGCTGTTGAGGCATTGAGTGGGGATGCTGAAACTGAACTTGCCGCTGAGGATCTAGAGCATCATTACAAGGGGAGTGAGAAGAGGTCATGTGCGAGTGGTAGTGTATTTCAGAGAATGCGGACGTCATGGAAGGTCGAGGATGCTGGCCAAGGTAGGTGCGAGGTGCAGCTAGAGATGGAGTATGTCTTTACGAATATGCTATATCAGCGGTTGGGGGGGACTGTGCAAGCTCGGGTTGCCGAGTACATGATTGAGGCGTTCGAAACAAGGGTTAAGGAGATCTTAGGGAAGCCACGCAGGATCTAGAAAAGCAGAGAGGTAAGAGTCCCACCAAGCAGGACGAGATATTCGCGAGGGTACGGCATATAGGACATACCTTCATGATTATAGTGGCTAGGCCACACATACTGTACTCAGCACCAATTTCAGCCTTTATAATCATGGCCTTCATGACGTATTCTAGTAATTTGTGCTACCAGTATTATAAACAAACCAGAGAAGACTCTCGAGTATGTCAGGCATGATTACGATTTTGGGAGTGCGTTTGCAAGTGCCCCTTACACGTGTGGCTTTCGGCTTCTTCAAGCCGTCCTTCTCGTGACCTCGCTCGTCTATTCAATCCTGTCTTCCCTTTAGTAAGCGTTTGGTGACCTTATCCTTCTCGATGATGTAGACGTGTGCGCCCCAACCAGATAGTGCATCACGGTCGACCGCATTGAGCAGAGCTTGTGAAACTGTTTCGAAGAGGTCCTCTGGGCCCTGAAACGCAATATTAGGTCGACACATGTCTAGAAGATAATGGCTAGTGGCACCATACCAAATTGGGTTCCCAAAGTCCCTCGCATGTACCAAACAACTGGTCGCTCGCTGTACCGCTCACGATGAAGTCCTTCGCAAAATCTATGCACCCAATGCTGTCAAATCCGCAGATGAACGGCTTTCCTGTCGTATGATTGATACCTGCGATCACTGGACTAATGAAATACGGTCCAAATCGCTTCTCATAAAGCGAGCTGCTAACCAGGTTGGCCATGGTCTGTGGACTAATGTTGCGCTCCTCACGGAGCCTGTACATATTAACTTTGTAGCGGAAAAGATCGGAGACGGTTGAGACGTCGGTTGCGAGGCCTGTGAGGCCGAGGTAGACATCGCCATAGTTGAAGATTTTCGGGAAGTTGTTCGACACGGTGAGGGCTTGCAGACCGAGGCGTAGGTCGCAGGCGATAGCTACGCAGTCCTTTCCAACCATAGCCACGCAGGCACCGCCATCTAAGATAATGTATCAGGTATTAGAGATCTGTGAAGATGTAGGTCACAACACGCATACTTATTGAGAAAGGTGAGGACTAGAACATGGTTAGCTTTAAGCATAGACTTGGGTCATGAAGGCTTACCATGCTGCTGTCGTTGAAGCGGTAATAAAATTGAGAAGCTCCTGGAACGGAAATATAAGGCACATGAAAGAACCAGCCAGTTTATAAGAATGGGCGCGGAGTGAAGCTTTAGTCGTTCGTCTCTAGGGATCCCATAGTTAACTAATATTATTATTATTAGATAATTATAGAATATATAGTATATAACTACTAGCTCTTAAATAATAATAATAATAATAATAATAATAATAATAATAATAATAATAAAACGAGAAA